AGGACATATTTAAGTCAGATATCCCCGAAAATGGTTCAAGTCTTCCTGAATAGGAGTAGAGTGCTGAAATCTGGTCTTCTGGGTATAGAAAAGCTACGAAGTTGTTGCTAGGCTTAATGCTGATAAAATGAAGCTGCGTTTGAGTTAAAAGCCTAATTAACACTCCCCACAAGATGACTTTCCAACGAAGATGACAACACGTTCGTCAATGCTAACCATTTTTCAAGTGACTATGTTGGAGTAAGAGTCGCCATAGAGACCAGCAACCAATGATGTTGCTCGACGATTAGCTGGCTGCGATGTGTCTGTCTTTGCGAATTTCTACTCGTAGGAATTGCCATGGGGTACTGGTTCTTGAACAATCTTGTCCTGGATCGCAAAATACAACAATATCCCGAGCATTGATGATTCATTGAAAACGAAATTTGGCTATAGATTTGATGTCCTCTGGATACATCTCTTTTGCTATGAACATTTCACAGACCAAAATATATCACTAAAATTTTAAATGACACATGTTATCTGAGATGTTTAAATGAGAAAGGACGCCTGAGATCACGTAAAATTCACCTTCAAGTTGTGCTTTAGCTTCAGTCGCGACTGGGACGCTGGACAAACGAATCAAATTCTCTTTTATCGCTGACTTTGCGGCAGCAGAACGAGCTACCTCTGCCTGTTGGGCCATACAGGCGGTGCGGACCTCGGAAAACCGGACCGGTGTCTGATTGAGGCTGAGGAAGCAAGAGATCTGCATTGAGACGGATCTGTCCAGCCGTATCAGTGCGTTTTCGATGTCCGATCGTATGCAATCTGACAAAGGCTGAAAAGTCTTGTGCACCAAAGATACCTTAAGCAGAGATTTGAATGGGGATAAAAAGATAAAGGGCCCAGGTATATCTGGAAGTAGAAGTCAATCTAGAGAAAACGAGATAAAAACTCGTATAACATAGGATACATATAAAAGGAAAAAGTGCATGCTATGAAGTAAAGAAAATGCATAAAGAAGAGATTCGTAGATAGATCTCACCAGAAGAAGACGGCTGATCCTTGTTGTACTGCAGCCATTTTGGCTTAGATACTACGATCAGGTTGACGCAGCCTATGAGACATCCGCCCTAGTTTCGGATCAAAGCAGGCTGAGTTTTCGTTCATCATATGAAAGATATCGTCAGAGCTGGAAGTCATTATTGTAAAAGTCTCGCGTTAAAACTTGATCAAGAAGATCTAAGCAACAATTTAACACTAGGTCAAGAAGGCTTAGTGTAACGTTAGACTTTTACAAGAATGAGTTCCAACTCTGATGATGTACATCATAAGATGGACGAAAGCTCAGGCCGTTTTCATCCGAAATGAGGGAGGATGTCTCGTGGATTGCGTGAACTTGAACGTTGTA